TTACTCACTATCAATACCAATAAAAATTTGGCCAATAGTATTTGTATAAAGTAAAAAAAAAAAAAAAAAAAAAAAAAGATTATTACTACTTTCTTGACCAATATACAAAAATAAACTTTCGATATATTCAAGTACTGATTTATGGGAAATATGTTGGATTAATAAAAGATCGAGTTTAGAAGATTCTTTTCTTTTAACTGTTTCAATTATAGACTTTATTAATGGTATTTTGTTAGCTACAATATAATTATCTAAATTAATAAATTCATTCGATTTTCTTTAATGCCAAGAGAAAATTTATTTATAAGTATTAGTAGTTTGAAATTAGTTAATTGCTCAATAGATTGAATAGTTTCATTATTAATATTAATATTTGTACTATCAGATAAAATGCCAGTTCGCTGCCATGCATGTATAATTGTTTGAGTAGTTACTTTATCTCAAGCAATTTTAACAAATTCAATTGCTTCACTGATATTTGTCTTAAGAATTTCTGAAATTGGTTTGTTTTGTACAATAGCATCATTATATTTTTCAATTCGATCTATACAATAAGTTCGTCAGTATTGACATTTAAAACTGTATATAATTCTGGCATCACATAGTTAAAGATGCATAGTACATTTAGAAGGTAAAAAATAAACTTTGATATTTAAAAGAATTGTATTATTATTAATACTGTGAGAGGAGGTGTTATCTACAAGTAATAGTATATTTCTTTTTGACTTGCACATAGTTATATTAAACTTATCAAGCCAATGGTTAAAAATTGAAGTTTGCATTTATGCTGTAGAGTTTCAGTAGTAGTAAACTGGTAAAGTATTTTTATCAATTTCATTAAGTAGTCATAGGTTTTTATATTTGTGAATCATTAATAGTGTTAACTTTTCTTCTATAAAACTTACAGTAAGCATTAAAGTTACATAATCTTTTGCTTTTTTTTGTCTTGTAACAAAACCTTGTGCCAATATTTTTGTAGGTTCTAGATGATAAAAAAGAGCAGTTTCGTCACAATTAAAAATATTTTCTCTTAGATATGATTGAATAAGTTGTTGTAATTCTTTTTGATAATGTGGGAAATCTTCTAATAGTACTGAGATAGCTTTATCTTGTTTAACAAATTCATTTAAATAATGACATTTTTTAAAATTTATAACCCAACTTAGAAAAGCTTGAAAGTCATTAATATCTATCATATGAGCAAATTCTTGAGCTTTAACTTTCAATATTTTACCAGAAAAAGTTTGTTCATTATGTATAGCATGTTCAACTTATAAAGCAAGTACTGATTCAATAGTTAGAAATTCAACAGTACAGTGCTATTTAGAGTTAGCAAGTGGTGAATCTTTTTTTAATGTTAACCAAGTATCTTTTTCAGTAAGAATATCATGAATAGTATTTAGTTTTATTTCAAATTTAGTTGCTAAAACACTTAATGTATAATTTGGATTGTCTCATGCTTTAATATATAAAGCTTGTTGTTAGAGCCTAGTTAATATCTTTCGTTTTACATTTTCTTTTGTTTCTTTAGATAATTTAATCATAATATTTAATGAACTACTCATTAAACTTTCT